CATAGGTTATCTTAACATGATTCCGACGACGGGGGTATGGTGGGACCTTGACAGCTGTCCAGTTCCCGCAGGTTTTGACCCTGGTTTTATCCGTCCACAGTATAGAATCGGCCTTGAAAAGTTACTTTGGTCCTCGTCGAGTCACGGTCTTTGCCGTTGGCAACTTAGACAACATCTCTCATGACCTCTTGAAAAAGATTTCTTCCTCTGGAATCCTTCTTAGACACACCCCTCAAGGTAAGTCTTGTCTTTTTAGTGGTGGGTTATTGTATGGATCAAGAGTTTATTATACTCATCTGCCCTTTTTAATTTCCAGTTGGGTCAGAGGTCTTTGATCTTTTGGAACAAGAATGGAAAAAGCCTCATCCACCTCCAGCTCCAATAATGCTCATATCTCGCGACGGTCCGTGGTTTAGCGATTTAACCTCCTTGGGATACACTATTCTTCGTGCATATGATGGTCCCTAGCCACCGTTCCCTCACTCCCCGGCTCTTAAAGTCTGGGGCTGGCAAACCTTACTGGCAGAGTATTCTCACTCGAGCGATGTGAAGACAAACTGTCAGGTACTTGAGGATGAATTACCAGCCTGGTTTTGCTTTCTATGCGAAATCACTAGCCAAACCTTTGATGATTTCATCGAGCATCTCAAGAGTGAAGGACACAGAAAAGAGGTAAGCATTCCTTGCTTCCTACTCTCTCAAGTTTAGTACCTTTGTAATTGTCTTAACCAATTTGACCCCAAGCAGTTGTTCGACTCGGTGCCCTTGTACATGGACGATAACGATAGACCTAAACATTTTTGCCAGCTTTGCAAATATCCTACCTTCGACACTTATACGATGGCAATTCATTACAATAGTGAAATACATGCACAGAAAGTATTGGTAACCATCCTTGCCTCCTAATCTCACCTTGTATCATTATCATTATTATTGTCTTTGTATCAAAATTTGACCCCACTTTGTTTGATTGTCAAGCAGGAGCAGGCCGGCGGCGGTGTGTCTCAAAACCTGGTTGCAGGACCAAGCGAGAAAGAGGATTCCCTTGCCTATCAACCCAACACAAGTCAAGAAGAGGAGGAAGAAGACCAGTCATCAAGAAGAGGATCTCTTGAACAAGAAGAGGTAGGCGTGAACTAGACGAAGGAAAAAGAGTGCATGGCCCCATGGGGTGTTGTATGTTCGTTTAGGATACAAAGGAAAACTGATGATAGGACAAAACGAAGAAGTACGGACCGGAGCTACGATAGAAATATGAAACACCAAAGAAAACAATGGATTATATGATTGTGGGTCGAATTAACCTAGTCGCAAGACCTTATTAACGACCAACTTTTGTGCGTTTTGGACAATTTTAAGGTGATCAGATTGTCTGCTTGGCTTGATTTAACAGTATCTCAATGTGTTTCATTGTGATGTACATGACTTCGCGTACGTACGTATGCAATAAATGCATTGTCCGTTTCTTGTGGTTTAAAAGTGGTCCGCTTGTCAGGAAATTCTAAAATTGATGTAGAGGCTCGGCTCCCGTGAATGTTAGTTATTCCATGAGTTTAGCCACTTGACTTGACAACATTAAGGCTTTTTTGGGAGGCTAACAAATTTTGCCTTACATTTAGATTAGTTCCAATAAGACTTATCCACGTATTCTAGTCAAATTGATAGCAGGAAAATAAACCAAAAGAATTACATAAGATAAACATTTATTTTTAATTGGCGTAGTAACTAGTTACGATTATAAAGAAAAATATAGTTCACATAGAAAACAAGTTCATCAANCATCAATAACAACAACAAAATTTGAAAGTTACAAGGTACATATACGAGGTTGTTTTGTTTAACGATGTTGTTTGTCTAGTTTTTGAACCTAGACATTAGTTCTTTTGGAAATGTGGATGAGCGTGAGGAGATAGACGAATTAGTCTACATTTTCCTATTGCTGGTGAAAATCTTGCGGGGGGTGAACCCTTGCGAGCTCCACACGGTGGTGATGGTCCAATTTTTATATGCATTGTTGTACCTTGTGATAAAAGTAAGAAAAGTACGTATGATACATATCATTGTTAATTAAAATTGTAATATATGTCATCATTATAAATTTAAATTGTTTTTACTTATAAATAAAATAGTAAATAAAATTAAAAATTTAAATAAATCATATTATAACTTAGAAAATAGTAAATAAAATAAAGAGAAATTGTAACTTAGAAAAAATAAAAACTAACTAATTTTTTTTCTATACGTGATTTGAAAAGAAAATTCATCAAAAAGAGTAAATATGTTATAAACTACTAACTATTATAGTGAGATAATACGTGTGT